GTCAGCAAGTTCAGCAGCTCAGCGGTTTAACCCACATTATCAGAGGCAATGGATCTTTAAGTTAAAGAAATGTTTACAAGGTTCTTTATGTTCAAAAGGAAGTCAACACAAGGCTCCTTACGTTTACCAACAGCAATTAAGGAGAGTCAACATCTGTCCGGAACTGAGATGAAACCAGGATGTTTCAGGCTGGAAAAACATCCATCGTTCATTTATGACTTTGGATCAACATTAGCAAGAAATATGGCTATATAAGAGACCTTATTACAATCCAAAAATTGTTGCAGAGCGCTACTGAGGGCTCCTGATGAATCCAGGAGAGACCCCCAGACTGGGACCCCGTTGAGCACAGGTTGCTACCTTAGAACCCGATTGGCCGCACAACTGACCAGGAGGACCTCTGTCTTGCCAGGATTTAGCTTCAACTTATTAGCCCTCATCCAGTCCATCACGGCTGTCGCTCACCGGTCCACAATCCAGGGAGCTTCCCTGGAATGAGGTGGAAAAGATTAATAGAGTTGTGTGTCATCTAGAAGAGCCCCCCAATCCAGATGGCCATCTGTTAAGAGGACTTTGATGGTGTCCTCTTTCCTGGCAAAAGGGGGTTGGACTGGATGGTCCTTGGGTTCTCTTCCAACTTGAGACTTCAATGATGATGATGATGATTGATGACGGCATCACCTTACCAAGTAGTTTCCAATCAGAGGCTGGATGGCCATCTGTCGGGAGGGATTAGAGGGTGTCTTCGTTTATGGCAGAAAGGGGTTGGACTAGATGGCCTTTTGGGTGTCTTCCAACTCTAGACTTCAGTAATGATTATGGTGACGAGGATGATGGCATCACCTTCCCAATTAGTTTCCAATCAGAGGCTGGATGACCATCTGTCGGGAGAGATTGGAGGGTGTCTCCCTTTATCGCAGAAATGGGTTGGACTAGATGACCCTTTAGGTGTTTTCCAACTCTAGACTTCAGTAATAACTATGATGATGATGAGGATGATGGCATCAATTTCCCAATTAGTTTCCAATCAGAGGCTGGATGACCATCTGTCGGGAGGGATTGGAGGGTGTCTTCCTTTATGGCAGAGGCTGGATGACCATCTGTCGGGAGGGATTAGAGGGTGTCTCCCTTTATCGCAGAAATGGGTTGGACTAGATCACCCTTTGGGTGTCTTCCAATTCTAGACTTCAGTAATAATCATGATGATGATGGTGATGATGATGATTGATGATGACGTCTCCTTCCCTAGTGGTTTCCAATCAGAGGCTGGATGGCCACCTGTCGGGAGGGATTAGAGGGTGTCTTCCTTTATGGCGGAAAGGGGTTGGACTAGATGGCCCTTTGGGTGTCTTCCGATTCTAGACTTCAATAATGATGACGAGGATGAGGATGATGGCATCACCTTTCCAATTAGTTTCCAATCAGAGGCTGGATGGCCATCTGTTGGGAGGGATTAGAGGGTGTCTTCCTTTATGGCAGACACGGGTTGGACTAGATGGCCCTTTGGGCGTCTTCCAACTCCAGACTTCAATAATAATAATAATAATAATAATAATAATAGATTATTATAGCATCACCTTCCCTGGTAGTTTCCAGTCAGGTTGAATGGCCATCTGTCAGGAGGGATTGGATGGTGTCATCCTCCCATAAGTCCGCAGTGATGTGAAGTGTCACCTTAACAACCTAAAGGCACTGGATCCTGTCTGATCTTGGATGCTAAGCAGGGTCAGGCCTGGTTAGGACTT